ATTTTCCCAACTCAATTCATTAAATGGTGCTTTCTTTTTCTGGCAGAGTGTGGAAGCATTTTTTAAAAGATTATATACCAGGTCCAATAATACCTAGATCTGTTTGTTAGCCCTTTGTTCTGTACAGCGGTCCATTTGCCTGTTCCCATGTGAGAATCCACTGTTTTAAAACTTTAGCTTTATAGTATATCTTCATAATTAATTGGTAGGACAATTTGTTTTTCTTTGCTTTTCATGATCAAATTGAGTATTTGAGAAGCCTTATTCTTCTGTTAAATTTTAGAATAAGTTTATCATTTTCTTCAAAACTCTTAGTGAATTTTAATAGGGATTGCATTTAATTTATAGTTTAATTTTGGAAGAACCAAATTCTTAACGTGTTGTTGTTATATCCATGTACATTTATGTAAATCATTCAGGTTTTTTTTCATGTTTAACAGCTTTTTTTCCCCCACACCTTTTTTTTTTTTTTTTAAGATTTTATTTATTTATTTTACAGAGAGAGAACAAGTAGGCAGAGAGGCAGGCAGAGGGAGCTGGAGAAGCAGACTCCCCGCTGAGCAGGGAGCTGGATGTGGGGCTTGATCCCAGGACCCTGGGATCATGACCTGAGCCGAAGGCAGCGGCTTAACCGACTGAGCCACCCAGGTGCCCCTCCCCACTCCTTTTTTTTAAGGCTTTATTTTTAAGTAATCTGTATACCCGACATGGGCCTCGAACTCACAACCCTGAGATCAAGAGCCGCACACTCCACCAACTGAGCCAGCCAGGTGCCCCATCATGTTTAACAGCTTTATAAAAATAAAATCATCATACAAAATCCTGCACATATTTGAAATGTGCAAATTGGCAGGCTTTGACATTTGAATGAGGCCATGAAACCATCACCAATATCAAGATGGTGATAGTGAACAAATTCACCCACCCCAAATTCCTTGTGCCCCTTTGTAATCCCTTTTCTCCTATCCTTCCCCACACCCCACATCATGCAACCAGTGATTGCTTTCTATCACTATAGGTAGAAAGAGTCCTTTGCATTTTCGAAAGTTTTTAATATATGGAATCACGCATTATCTGGCTTCTTCCACTCAGTATAAAAGTTTTGAGATTCATCAATACTGTAGCATGAATCAGTAGTTCATTCCTTTTTATTGCTGAAGAGTATTCTACTGTATGGATATACCACAAATTTGTTTATCCATTCACCCATTGGTGGACATTTGGGTTGTTTCCAGTTTGGAGATATTACAAATAAAACTGCTATGACCATTTGTGTAAAAGTTTTTGCATGCAGATATATTTTCTTTACCCTAGGTAAATATTTAGACGTGAAATGGTTGGGTCATATGGTAGATGTAAGTTTAACTTTTTAAAAACTACCAAGCTGTGTTTCCAAGTGTTTGTACCTTTTTACATTCCCATGAGCAGTATATAAGGGTTCTATTTCCTCTGCATCCTTCCCAACAGTTGGCATGGTCACTCTTTGTAATTTTAACCGTCCTGATAGGTGTGTAGAGGTACCTTGTGGTTTTAATTTGCATTTCCCTTATTAATTTGCCAAAGGTATTGGGCATCTTTAAATCTGCTTATTTACTATCCATACATCCTCTTCAGTGAGCTGTATTCAAATCCTTTGCCTATTTTAAAAAATGGGTTGTATTTTTTATAGTGCTTTGAGAGTTCTTTATATGTTCCATGTAGTAGTCCTTTATCAGATATGTAATTTGCAAATATTTTCTCTCAGTCTCTTGCTTGTCTTTTCATTGTCATAACAGAGTCTTCTGAAAGCAGAAGTTTTACTGATAGGTCTAATTTGTCAAATTGTTTTATAGGTTATGGTTGTATATGAAGAAATTATATGTAAGAAGTGTTGCATATATGAAACCTTTGCCTAACTCATTTATAAAGAATTTTTCACAGAAGTTCTGTCATTTCAGGTTTTACATTTAGGTCTGTGTTTAGTATTGCTGCATAACAAAATTACCTCAAATGTAGTGACTTAAAACAACACAAATTTGGGGGACTTTGGGGGAGATGGTGGAGTAGGAGGACCTTAAGCTCACCTCATCCCAGGGATACAACTAGGTAACACCTGCATCAGTGTAAATAATGCAGAAAATGACCCAAAGACTGGCAGAACAGGTTCTCCACAGTTAAATGTAGAGAAAAAGTGACAGTGAACAGGGTAGGAAGGGCAGGGATGCTTTGGGAGCTAAATGGACCACAGCTGTCCATGGGTGGTGGGGCGGAGGGATGCTGCTGGTGTGGAGAAGGGAGAGAAACAGACTCTCACACTAGGGAGCCCACATGGGGAAGATGGATCCACATAACATTTGGCTTTGAGAACCAGAAGGGCATAATTTCATGAATTCTTATAATCAGTAGGACTTAACACTTGGAACTTTAAAAATCGGTGGGCTCAGCTCTCGGAGAGCAGTGGGGGGTTGGTAAGAGGAAACTGAGTCCTCACCCTTAAAGAGATGGCACAAAAAACATCCACAGAGATACAGCACAGAAGCAGCAGCTTGAAAAATGCCTGGCGTATACGGGAGGGAGATTTGTTTACTAATCTCAGAGTATAAGCTAGAGGGGCAGGGATTGTTGGGACTTCTCCAAGAACAAATGAGCTGGCAGGTGCCATTGCCCTCCCCCCACCCCCTAGCCTAGACGTAGGGACACCAGTGGAAACCAGTGCTGCACCAACATGGCTACCTAATGTGCTAACAGTGCTCCCCACCCCTTTGTTCTCTTGTGGACACACACCACCCTGCAGCTAGGCCTGGCTCCACGTCCCCTCCCACAGCAGACCCACCTAAACCTTGCTAACACTGCAACCCCAGCCCCACATGCTGCTGCTGCTTTTTTTTTTTTTTAATATTTTATTTATTTGACAGAGAGACCGCAAGAAAGGGAACACAAGCAGGGGAAGTAGGAGAGAGAATCAGGCTCCCTGCTGAGCAGGGAGCCCAACGTGGGGCTCAGTCCCAGGACCCTGGGATCATGACCTGAGCCAAAGGCAGATGCTTAATGACTGAGCCACCCAGGGGCCCTACCACACATGCTTCTGTGAGTCCACCTGAGACAGTGGACCTGTGTGGACCTTGCTGACACTGGGTACCCTGCCTCCACATTCTCCTGCTGACCTGCACCCTCCAATATGCGTTGGCTAGACCCCATCTAAAGTGATGCCACAAGCCTGGCAGTGTACAAGCAGCCCTGACAGGGGCCAACTCCACTCCAAAGGGATTCTTCCCTGGGGAGAGGGGAAGATAACCACACATACCAGTCTGACTGCATTGCCATCTGTGAGCTGGGAGCAGGCATTTGGTCTGACTGTCGGCCCCATTCACTAATGAAAGCTTTTCAGGGGACAACACAGGGAAAGCACCCTGCAGTTCTGTACTGCTGCATCTCTGGCAAATGCCTGGTCTGACCCAACTCAAGCCCAGGTCAGTGCCAGACTGGCTCCTTAACAACACAGGGACCAAGCATGCCCACAACAGGCAAAGAGAGCCATTGCAGATGACTGGACTGAAGGCAGTTGCAGCTCAGCCACAACAGCAGGGTGCACCCAACACACATAGGGAACACTTCTGAAGTGACAGGTTTTGGAGAACAGGGAACATTGTACTGCAGGGCACTACAGGACCTCATCTTCATAACACCACTATTTTCAAGAGCAGGAGAAATAGCTGATTTTCCTAACACATAGAAACAGACACAAAGAGTTAGACAAAATGAGGAGGAGGAAGAATATGTCCCAAATGAAAGAACAGGACAAAAGCACAAGAGATCTAAAAATATCACAGCAAGAGACCTAAATGAAACAGAGATAAGTAATATGCTTGATGGAGAATTTAAATTATCGGTCATAAAGATACTCACTGGACTTGAGAAAAGAGTGGAGGACCTCAGTGAGACTCTTAACAAAGAGATAGAAAACATAAAAAACCAATCAGAGATAAAAAAAAAAAACCTCTATACCTGAAATTAAAAATACAGTAGACTAGAGGAAGCAGAAGAAAAAAAATCAGTGACCTAGAGGACAGAGTAATGGAAAGCAATCAACTTGAACGGGAGATAAAAAATAATAATAAATGAGGGTTAAGGTAGCTCAGTGACACCATCAAGCATAACATTTGCATTGCACGGATCCCAGGAGAAGAGAGGGAAAGGGGGCAGAAAAATTATTTGAAGAAATAATAGCTGACAACTTCCTGAATCTGGGGAAGCAAACAGAAGTCCAGATCCAGGAGGCACAGAGGTCAACCCAAGGAGGTCCAGACCAAGACACATAGTAATTTAAATGGCAAAAACAGTGATAGAGAATTTTAAAAGCAGCAAGAGAAATCCGTTACATACGAGGGAAACCCCAAAAGGCTATCAGCTGATGTTTCAGCACAAACTTTGCAGACCAGATGAAAGTGGCATGATATATTCAAAATCCTGAAAGAAAAAAAAAAAACCAACAAACCTGCAACCAAGAATACTCTATCTAGCAAGGATATCATTCAGAATAGAAGGAGATAAAAGGTTACCCAGACAAACAAAAGTTAAAGGAATTCATGACCACTAAACCATCCCTACAGGAAATGTTAAAGGGGATCCTGAGTGAAAAGGAAAGATCATTAAGTAGGAGTAAGAAAAGTAAAAAGCAGAAAAGAAGTAAAATTAAGTATTTCTATAAAAATCAGTCAAGGGATTCCCAAAAGGATGTTAAGTATGACACCAAATATCCAAAACATGGAGGGGAGAGGAGTGAAGAATGGGTTCAAATGTGAGCAACCATCAACTTAATATGGATTGCTATGTGCATAAGATGTTATATACAAACCTAATGGCAACCACAAATCAAAAACCAGTCATAGACTTATGATTACCAGAGAAAGGTGGGGGGTGGGGAATGGGTTAAATAGGTGAAGGGGATTAATTTAAATTCCACTTAACTAAATTCCAGTCTTATCTGGAATTTAAATTAAAACTTAAAAAAATAAAAAATAGTGCTTACTTTGGCAGCACATCTACTAAAATTAGAACGATACAGAGATTAGCATGACCCCTGCTCAAGGATGACATGCAAATTCGTGAAGCGTTCCATATTTTAAAAATAAAAATAAACGAATAAAAGTATAATTTATTTAGATATTTTCAAATATTAAAAAAACTAGTCAGATATGCAAAGAATAAAGAGAAAGGAATCCAAGTATATCACTAAAGAAAGCCAGCAAACCATGAGAGAAGAAAGCAAGAGAAGGAACAGAGAAGAACTACAAAACAATCATAAAACAAGTAACAAAATGGCAATAGGTATGCTCCTATAAATACTTACTTTGAATGCGAATGGACTAAATGCTCCAATCAAAAGGGTGGCAGAATGGATAAAAAGCAAGACCCATCTATGTGCTATCTACAAGAGACTCATTTCAGACCTAAAGACGCATACAGGTTGAAAGTGAAGGGATGGGAAAACATTTATCATGCAAATGGAATGAAAAGAAAGCCAGGGTAGCAATACTTAATATTGGACAAAATAGACTTTAAAACAGACTGTAACAAGAGACAAAGAAGGACACTCCATAACCATAAAGGGGAAAATTCAACAAGAAGATGTAACAATTGTAAATGTTTATGCTTCCAACATGGGAACACCCAAATACATATAGAGCAGCTATTAACAAAGGAAGAAATCAATAGTAAAACAGTAATAATAGAGGACTTTAACACCCCACTTACACCAATGGATAGATCATCCAAACAGATAATAAATAAGGGAATAGTGGCCTTGAGTGACACATTGGACCAGATGGATCTAACAGATATAGTCAGAACATTCCTTCCCAAAACAGCAGAATACACATTCTTCTCAAGTGCACATGGAACATTTTCCAGAACAGATCACTATTAGGCCACAAACAAGTATCTTCAACTTCATAAATCTTTTTCTTCTCTAATATCTGGTAGTTAACTTTAGGGTTTATATTATACATCTTTAACTTATTACAATCTACCTTCAAGTGATATATCACTTCACTTATAGTATTAGGAACTTATAACACTTTACTTACATTTCTCCCCTCCTAGAATTTATCATCCATTTTATACATTTGTTAAAAACTCTACAATGAAATATTATTACTTTTGTTAAGCTGTCAATTATTTTTATTTATTTTTTATTTTTATTTTTTTAAAGATTTTATTTATTTATTTGACAGAGAGAGCTAGCGAGAGCAGGAACACAAGCAGGGGGAGTGGGAGAGGGAGAAGCAGGCCTTCCGCTGAGCAGGGAGCCCGATGTGGGGCTCGATCCCAGGACCCTGGGATCATGACCTGAGCCGAAGGCAGATGCTTAACGACTGAGCCACCCAGGCGCCCCAAGCTGTCAATTATTTTTAAAGGGACTTAAATAATAAGAAAAATATATATATTTACCCATGTAATTAGCTACCATTTCTGGTGCCTTTCATTTCTTTGTGTAGATCCAGATTTACTTCTGACATCATTTCCCTTTTGCTGGAAGGATATCCTCTAATATTTTGTTGTAGTGCAGTTCTGATGCTGATGAATTCTTTCAGCTTTTGTATGTCTGAAAACATCTTCATTTTGCCTACATTTTTTAAAAGATATTTTCAGTGGCTATAGGATTTAAAGTACAGTTTCTTCTTTCAGTACTTTAAGGATATTGCTCCATATCTTCTTGCTTACATTGTTTCCAGTGAGAAGTCTGTTGTTCTTACCTTTGTCTCTCTGTACATAACTCCCCTGACCTCCTTCCCCAGCTGCCTTTAAGAGTTTCTCGTCACCGTTTTTAAAAATTGTTTTTGGGGCACCTGGGTGGCTCAGTCGTTAAGCGTCTGCCTTTGGCTCAGGTCATGGTCCCAGGGTCCTGGGATCGAGCCCCTCATCGGGCTCCCTGCTCAGCAAGAAGCCTGCTTCTCCCTCTCCCACTCCCCTGCTTATGCTCTCTCTCTCTCTCTTTGTGTCTCTCTCTGTCAAATAAATAAATAAAATCCTTGAAAAAATTGTTTTGTGACTTGGTGTAGTTTTCTTCATGTTTCTTAGGCTTGGGATTCATTGAATTCCTTGGATCTTTGGAGTTTTGTTTGCAAAAAACTAGGGAAAATTTCAGCCGTGGAATAAAATTTTTTTTTAAAGATTTTATTTATTTATTTGAGAGAGAGAGAATGAGAGAGAACACATGAGAGGGGATAGGGTCGGAGGGCAAAGCAGACTCCCTGCCGAGCAGGGAGCCCGATGCGGGACTCGATCCCGGGACTCCAGGATCATGACCTGAGCTGAAGGCAGTCGCTTAACCAACTGAGCCACCCAGGCGCCCTGGAATAAAATATTTTTGACCTCCCATTCTCTTCTCTCCTATGAAGACTACATTTATATATATGTTAGGCTGATTGAAATTGTCCTGCAGTTCACAAAGGTTCCCTTCTACCTTCTTCTTCCTCCTCCCCCTCCTCCTCCTCCTCCTTCTTCTCTGCCATTAATACCATCCAGCACATTTTCATTTCAGACATTGTAGTTTTCTTTTTTTAAAAAAAAGATTTTATTTATTTATTCATGAGACATACACACAGAGAGAGAGAGAGAGAGAGAGGCAGGCTCCCTGCAGAGCAGGGAGCCCGATGCAGGACTCGATCCCAGGACCTTAGGATCATGACCTGAGCCGAAGGCAGACACTTAACCGAATGAGCCACCCAGGCGCCCTGGACATTGTAGTTTTCATTTCTAGAAATTTAATTTAGGTACTTTTTAAAAATATATATCTTACATTTCTATTTAAAATTTTGAACATAGAGAAGACAATTATAGTAATTGTTTTAATAGCTTTGCTTATTCTAACATCTGTGACAGCTGTTGGTTGGTTGGTTTCAATTTATTGATTATTTTTCTTATTGTGAATTGTACTTTCCTACTTCATTGCCTGGCGACCTTTGTTTTAATACCAGACATTTAATTTTACCTTGTTGAGTGCCAGGTATTTTTTTGTTGTTGTACTGTTGTACTGTTAATATTTTTAAGGTTTATTCTGGGATGTAGTTAAATTTCTTAGAAAAAGTCTGATCCTTTCAAGTCTTATTTTTATGATTCTAGTGGGTCCAGAATAGTGCTTAGTCTGGGTCTAATTATTTCCCGTTACTGAGGCAAGGCTTTTCTGAGTATTGTACTCAATGCTCTGTGAATTATGAGTTTTTCCAGTCTGGCTGGTGGGCATAGGCACTGTTCCCAGCTCGGTGTCAGTACCAGCCACTGTTCTCCAATCCTGTCGGATAGTTCTGTTCCCTTAGTCTTAGTCAGTTCCTCTCTTCCTGTGCTGGTAAATACTTCTTTGCTAAATACTCAAGGGTGACCCTCTCAGATCTCTGGGATTCTCTCTCTGTCCTAAGCACTTTAGCCACCTTGCTCTCGCTGTGACTCTTCAACTCAGGGAGACTGCTAGTCTCTGCCTGGGTACCCTCTCCCTAAGCCCTTAAGGCAGTAAGCTGGACAAAAGAGCTCACGTTATTCTGTTCTTGTCTATGAGGTTAATGTTTATTATTGCCCAATGTCCAATATCTTTAAACCTGTTGTTTCATATATTGTGTCTTGGTTTGTTTGTTTATTTGAGGCAGGGGTATAAAATCCTGTTTTATGCTCTTGTTAATCCATCTTGAGTGGAAGCAAATGTCCTTTCCTTGATTTTCTCAATTTGAGATTTTAATTAGTTTCCATAAATATTATGTGCATTCTTGAATTTTTTCTTTCTTTTTTTTTTTTTAAAGTAGGCTCCACGCCCAGCATGGAGCCCAACTCGGGGCTTGAACCCACGACCCTGAGATAAAGACCTGAGCTGATATCAAGAGTCAGACACTTAACCCACTGAGCCATGCAGGCACCCCTTGGATTACTTCTTTGACAGTTTTCTTCCTTCTGTTTACTCTGTTCTCTCTGAAATTTGTCATTTGGATGTTAAATCTTCTGGACTAACCCCTAATTTCCCTAACCCCTAATAATAATGCTTTTTTTAAAAATTGAAGTGTAGCTAACATACAATATTATTTTTAGTTTCAGGTATACAACATAGGGATTTGACAGTTATATACATTACAAAATGCTCACCATGATCAGTGTAGTTACCATCTGTCACCATACAAAGTTATTATAGTATTATTGACTTTATTCCCTATGCTATTTTTTATTCCCATGACTTATTTATTTTATAACTTTATTTTATTTTGTACCTTTTAACCCCCTTCACCTATTTTACCCACTCTCCACTCCTGCCAGTTTGTTCTCTGTTTATGAGTCTGTTTCTGTTTCTGTTCGTTTATTTTGCTTTTTAGATTCCACATATAAGTGAAATCATGTTAATTGTCTTTCTCTATCTGACTTATTTCACTTAGCATATAGGTTGCTTCCATATCTTGGCCATTGTAGATAATGCTGCAGTGAGCATAGGGGTGCATATATCTCTTTGAATTGGTGTTTTTGTTTCCTTTGGATAAATACCCATAAGTGAGAATGCCTGGCTGGCTCGGTTGGTAGAGTATGTGACTCTTGATCTCGGGATCTTGAGTTCAAGCGCCACGTTGGGTGTAGAATAGATTACTTAAATAAATAAATAAATCTTTAAAAAAATACATAGAAGTGGAATTGCTTGATTATATTTCTATTTTTTATTTTTTAAGGAACCTCCCTACTGTTTTCCATAGTGGCCGTACCAATTTACATTCCCATCAACAGTGCACAAGGGTGCTCTCCACATTATTGTTGTTATTTCTTACCTTTTTGATACTAGCTATTATAACTGATGTAAGGTGATACCTCATTGTAGTTTTTATTTTTATAGTTGATATACACTGTTACATTCGTTTCAAGTGTACAATATAGTGATTTGATAAGTCTGTGTTATGCTACACCCACCACCAGTGTAGCTACTACCAACTATCACCATACAGAACTATTACAATACCACTGATTATGTTCTCTATGCTGTACCTTTTCTCCCTGCAACTTATTCATTCCATGACTGGAAGCCTGTATCTCTCATTCCCCTTCACTCATTTTGCCTATCCTCTACCCCCTGGCAACCATCAGTTCTCTATATTGATGGGT